TCTGGAGGAAAGGGGGCCTGGGCTAATGGTTGATAACCTGCCAGCCTTCTCTCGATTTAACTCGCCGCTTTCTCACATGCACCTTGGGTTTTCTGCACTTTAGTGTCCCCCATTGCCAGGAGTCAATTTGGTTGCACAGCAAGCCTATCAGTCATGGTAGAACTGTTCCACAGGGTGCCCCAGACTGCGATCTTTGTGACAGTAGATCGCCAGGTCTTCTGTGGCGTGGCTGGCTGGCAGGTTCAAACCATCTACCTTTTGGTTAGCAGCTGAGCCCTGAGCGATTTTTGCCCCAGTGTTCTCATCTAAAACTCTAAGTTTCCTAGTTTAAAATTTGTCAACTGTAGATTTTTATTTCAGTTTTACAAGTCTATTTTGTATAGTTCTTTATGTGGTAAGATGATACTCCCTCAGCCCAAACAAAACACAAGAAAACGACACCCAAATGACTGTCATCCACCCCATTCCAGCTCAGGGCTAAGCAGAGAGGCCACGGTAGAACTGCCTCTGAGGTTTCTAAGTTGTATAGCTTTAGGGAGCCATTCTCACCCCCTCTCGCATGGAGCGGCTGGTGGCTTTGAACCACCTACCTTTCAGCTGTCAGCTGAGCACTTTACCGCTGTATCTGGTGCTTCTGTCTGATTCTCTACCAATTGGATTAGGACCAAGTGTTCCTATCCACATTAACTAATTATTGCTACATTATTTTAAAACAGTAGGCCTTTCTATAAAAATTAAGCTTTGTGATGATTATGATAATAATAATGCTGATGTGTATCAATGAGCCTCTTAGTCCCGGAGGGTATGTGCTCTGCTGTGCTGTTGTTGACATTTCTTTGGGAGCTCTCTCGTTTCTGATATATGCAGTTCATTTACTCTAAACTTTCTGTCCTAAATTGTTGTAATTGCAAAACAACTGAGTATCATGGGATGAAAACACACACACACACACCCACAAATGTGTTTTTAGAGTATCTCTTTAGTAGTAATTTTTAAAAGAATATTATACTTTCTGTTATTAACAAAATCTGTGATTTTCTACTTAATTCAAAAAATGCACTTAGAACTTGAGAGCTAATCGTATACAATTAGAACCTTTTTTTTGAATTCCAGAGCAAGTTAAACTGAGTAAAATCATGTCTGATATTGAATCCGTGAGTAAAAAAATGGAGAAAGAAAAGCAACAGTTCAAAGAGAAATCCAGGTAATGTGGGTAAAGTGTCGTAAGCTAACCTGTCAAAAATGTGTGTGTGTGTATATATCTATATTCATATACACATATATCCAATATTCCCTGACCAATTGTCATAGTTTCTCATCTCACTATGAACACCCCATGCTTGAGGCTAATTTATCCTTCTGTTTGAGTTCTTTGAAGAGTATCAATTATCCAAATTTTGTTTGCTGTTCAATTAACTTTTGAACTGGAAGATGTCTCGTAGTTAAGCTAGCCATCTGTGGTTTACAGTGCCTCCACTCAAATCCAACCTGTGACTCTCTTGAGAACCAAACCTGCTGCCTTTGTGTCAGTTGCGATTCATAGCAAATCACAGAAGCACCAGGACAGGGTATAGCTGCCTCGGCATTCCTGAGCATTTCCAAGCATTTTCGAGAGGCCGCCTGCTCCCTGGTTCCATTATGAGGAGGCTTCTGGGTTTGAACTGTTAACCCTTTGGTAAGCAGCTTGAGCACTTAACTGCTGTGCCATCGGGACACATTTCCTGAAAAAACAGCTATATTCTATGACTATTACATACATTTTTATTTTAATATCTCATCTGCAGCAATTTTGAAGCAGCTCATAAATTTTCCTTTCGTAATTTAAACATAGTCTTTTTTAAAACAGAAAATGGGGCTGATTAGACAACATAATGTGAACGCAGGGATTTTCAACATTGCTTCTGTGTTGCAAAGGTATCTAGGGATGGAACACATCCTTTTCACGGTTATCCCACTCCATGGCACCACAGTATTAAACATACCTGTCTGATCATTTTACATCATTGCTCACCCTAACGCTCCAGGTAGAACTCAAAAATGGCCTTTGTAGGCCAGCAGATTCCATCGACTACACTTCAACTATAGGATGGCGCTCCAAATGTGCTTAAGCAGATTTCAAAATAGCAAAGAGGTCGTTAGAGAAAGGCTACCAAAAAAAAAAAAAAAAAGGAAGGAAGAAAAGAATAAGGTGGTCAATGACTCGCATGGATCGTACCAGCCACATCACATCCATCTGACCCTGGTCTGGATAAATGTGGACACATGGAAAGTAGCGTTTCTTATTTACTAGAAGGAGATAGCATTCCACCAGAAAAGTGCTTTTATGAGTGGTTCGCTTCAAGCGCTGCCTGGGTAGAGAGGATGACTCTTTCTTCTATGCTCCACTCTGTGCGTGAGTCAGGGGCTAAGTGGTTCTCAGCCTCCTTCCAGCCTACCCCTGGCCAAGGAGGGCTATTTAGGTCAACTAGAAATGTATGCTCTGTGCGCACACTTGTACCCAAACTGAGGAGCCTCCGAAAACTGGCCCTTCAGGCTATTTTAAAGCTCCAGTTTAAGTCACAAGTTGTACCTTTTTACCTTTGCTAAAAAATGGATAAAGAAGACCCAAATCCTTACAATTGGGCCAACAGGAAACAGCAGAATAAATGGAGAAAAGGTGGAAGTTGCCAAGGATTTTTGTCTTGCTTTGGCCCACAATCAATATTCCTGGAAGCAGTAGTTAAGAGATCAAAAGACAGGTTGCATTAGGTAAATGTGCTGCCTAAGACCTCCTTAGAGTGTTGCAAAGAAAAGAAGTTTCTTTTATGACTAAGGCTTGCCTTACATGCATGTGGAAGTTGGACGTGAACACAGAAAAGCGATGAAGAATTCCTGTGTTTCAATTGTGGTGCTGCAGAAGAACATTGAAGGTACCACGGACTGCTGAAGAACAAACTGACCTGTCTTGGAGGAAGTCTGGCCAGTGTCCCTTAGAGGCAAGGATGGCAAGGAGACGAGACCTCAGAGAGAGGACCTTAGGCTTCATCAAGTAGAGGGCCATCAAAAGGCAGAAAGGCCCTCGAGGAGCTTCGTTGGCACAGTGGTGGTAGCAGCAGCTCCAACACAGGAGCAATTGAGAGGACGGCGATGTTTTATTCTCTTGTGTACGGGGTGTGTGGGTCGGAGCCGATTGGATGGCACCGAACAATAACAACCATCCTACTACCTCATCCTGCTCGGACTTCCCGAGGGAGGAATTGTATTTTTTAATCAGGCCTCCTTGAAGAGACACTCTGGCTTGTCCAAAGGATATGCTCCTCAAACCTCTTCAGCATATATTTTGTAGGAACCTTCATAGTTATTACACGTTAATATTGCTCTGTTAAAATATCTCTTTCAGTGGCTGTTTTATATTAATTCATCATTACAGAATGAGATGGTATGAAATTTGGGGTACTTGGCCATTATCAAATTGAAATTTGAGAAACTTTGCTAATGCCATGAATCATTGTGAAAATAATCCCATAAGGTGTAATAGATGCCTTGAATTTGGAAGAGTTGGATGTATGTGCAATTTTAACACTAGATCTGGTTTTATTCATGGTAAACTAGGCGTCTAGTGGTTGTTCCCTGGATTGAGACTCATGGGGTCAGAGTTGAACTGTGCTCTGTAGGATTTTGATAGACCAGGGTTTCAAAACGAGACCACCTACTAGTTCTTCAGAAATCCTGTGGCAGAGCACATTAAATTCATGGAAAAGGATGAAATATTTTTTTTAAAGAAATATTTAAAGAAATATTACTTTTGCCTTCATCCAGTTTCAACCAAGATTTAGATTAAGTCTAAGAGAGTAATAGCTATTAAAAAGAGAAACTTATATAACAATTTAACCAAATAGGTTAGAATTTTAAGTAAGCATCGAATAGCCAGTAAAGTAAAATGTATGCACATAAAAATTCTGTTATCAATATATTTTTATGAGATTGGTAATCTATGAATGAACGTTAATGATTTAAAGACAAGTGGACTACCCATGAATAAAACATCTGAGCAGATTAGATATAATGAAACTATTCCCTGCTCGAGAAGGAAGAACACACCTTTTGAAAAATCACAGGAAGTACATACCATTTTAGCGACAACCTGGGGCACCTAAGCCTGGACTTCAATCCACGTGTGCTGCCTTGTCTGTATTTGTAGCTCGTTTACGGTTATAGTACCTTTCCTAACTTAGCACTTCGTTTCATTCCGTTAATGTTAGAAATGTGTGGAAATGCAGAGAGAAAGTCATAGAAGTGTTTTAGGACATGGGAACTCAGGGCTTTAGAAAACCTGTGCTTAACAAGAGAAAATGTCGTTAGACTCAGAATTTTGTTGAAATCTAGTTCACCAGGGACATGAAGCAAGGCAATTTAGCAATGAGGATGTAAGCAACGGAAAGGCAAATGGAATCAGTCAGGAAACCAGATAGAGGACTGATAATAATGCAGATATAGGCTCTAGGACTAATTTACCTAAATTACTGAATTCTTTGGAAGACTTCCAACAGTTGTACTATTAGACTTTTATGAGACAATGTATACATGTTGGTTTTGGTTAGGCTCCACTGAGTCACTCCTAACTCATAGCAACCCTGTGCACAACAGAACAGCACACGGCCCAGCCCTGAGCCAGCCTCACCATTGTCTTCAGTTTGAGCTCTCTGTTTCAGCCACTGTGTCAATCCATCTCGCTGAGGGTCTTCCTTTCATATCGCCCCTCTACTCCACCAAGAATGGTTTTCTTCTCCAGGGAGTGGTCTCTCCTGACAGCATGTCCAAAGCACATGAGGTGAATCTTGCCATCCTTACTTCTAAGGAGTATGCTGGCTGTACTTATTCCAAGACCCATCTGTTGGTTATTTTGGCAGGCTACAGTGCTGCTTACAATTCTCTTGATGATAGTTTGAATGTACTAATTTTAGAAGGGATATTTTAAAATATACCATAAAAATTGGTGCAGCAAAATAAACTTCTTGGGAAAACATCCAAATAGGAACTATTTGTACTAGGTATTATTGTGGCTGTTCCCAACCACCGTCAACCCATGCATGACAAAACAAAGGCTGTCTGCTCATGCACTGTCTTCACCATGATTGCTATGCTTGCATCCATTGTTGCAAGCACTGTGGCAATTTATCTCTTTGAAGGCTTTCCTCTTTTACGCTGGCCCTCTCCAAAGCATGCTTTTCTTCAGCCACTGCTTCTTCCTAATAATATGACCAAAATGCAAATGATGAAACCTCATTAATACCCCTTCCAAGGAGTGTTCTGGCTGTACATTCTCTATGACAGATTTGTTTTTTTCTTCTGTAGCTCATGGTGTATTCAGCATTCTGCACCAACACCTTAATTTGAAGACACTTCTTCTTTATTCGCTATTCAGCTTTCTTATGTGAGGCTGTTGCAAATACCAGGGATTGGCTCAGGCTTACCTTAGTCCTCCAAGTGGCATCTTGACTTTTCACACTTTAAAGAAATATTTTGCAGAAGATTTGCCCATTGCAATATTTCATTTGATTGAATGTGGATCCAAATACATTTTAATTATTCATGTCAATCTTTTTTCCATTTCCCATGGTGTTTTTCTCCCTACAAAAGAAAAGAGGAACTTATGAATTTTGATTCTTACTTTTTCCAAAATTTTAATTTATTTGCCCTGCAAAAAAGTACAATAATATTGAATAGTCAGACATTTTAAAATGTAAGGTTAAAGGAAGACATGTTAGCAATGTATCTTTGGATTCTCATTTTAAGGATTTTCATGCATTAAAATGCTCTTTATTATAATAGTGATGTAACGTGGGTGTATCCGAATCAAAGTCCATCTAGAATTCTGTTTTTATTAGTGCTGATTTCTGATTTGTAATCTTTATTATATTTGAAGGCATGACTAGTAGTCCTGGTGACACGGAGGTAAAGCTCTTGGGTGCTACCCAAAGGCTGACAGCTTGAACCTGTTAAGGGCTCTCTGGGAGAAAGATGTGGCAGTGTACTTTCATCAAATTGCAAACTTAGAAAACTTCGAGGCAGTTATATTTTGTCTGATAGCATCTTTGTGAGTCTGAATCTAAAAGAAGGCAATGGGTTTGGGTTTGGAAAAGTATGACATCTGCATTTCTAGTAACTCATTTCATAATGTAAGCAAGGGAACCTGGACTTCTTTCCCTAGTGTCTTTGCTTATG